CCCTGGCACTGGGGGCTCTGTCACACCCCTGGCACTGGTTTCTTGGTCAGAGCCCTTGGCCTGGTTTCCCAGTCAGAGCTGGTGCACTGCTCTCCTGGTGCTCCCTCCATGCAGGTCACTGCCAGAGGAAAGAGCTGCAGATCCACTGGGGTGCTGTCCCCCAGCCCAGAGCTGTGAGCTTTCATGTTATGTCCTAGCAAGTGCTTTCCTCCTTCCTGCACAGAGCATTTCTCACTAGGCCAGGCTGGGGGGCCCAGAGCACTCTCAGCCCCTCTGAAAAACCTGCTCAGATATCATCCCTTTGTTCAGAGAGCCGTGCCCATCCCCGGTGAGAAAACAGCTGCTTGTGCATCTCTTTGGAAGTCTTTGATCCTTACCAGCTTGCCAAGTCTAATTAATGTCCCAGTCATTGTTCTGCAGGGAGTGTCATGTATGTGCAGCATCTGCAATAAAACCCATCTATTCCTTGTGAAAAGTCACAAGACTTCAGGAAGACTTTTTTCTGTCTATATGATGCAGAAGGATTAGTTTGGAGTTGCCTAAAATCTTCAGGGTGTGCTGCAGATGAGCGGCACTGGACGAGCCAGGTGTTTGTCTGGATGGGCTTGGGGGTCTGGTGGGGCTGGAAGCTCTCTTGCAAAAAAAGAGAGGTCAAAAACATTGTAGGAATGGCTAAACTTCCTGACAGTCAGGGAAGTTGGTGCTGGCTGTGCCCCTCGGGGACGGGAGGAGACCCCAGGGGCATCCACAGGTGGGAGATGGCAGCGTGCCCCAGCACCTCCTCGCTCTGCTGGAGGCTGGGTGGGAGCCAGGCAGGCAGGAAGGTTTCTTGGTTCTCCTGGCTCCCACAGACAGAATAAAGAGTCCCAAAGTCACAGAACAGAATCACAGAACCACTAGGGTTGGAAAAGCCCTCCCAGAGCCGTGACTATCCCCCCCTAGAACACCAAGAGCCACGTCCAGCTGTAAACATTCCGCTCCTCCAAATGGCAGAGCTGTGGTTCTGTTGATCTCAAACCACGTTTTGGCCAGGCTTGAGCACGGTGCAGAAGAAGAAGCACCAGTCTGTGTTGATCTGGGAGGGATGAGGCAGCACAGGCACCGGGACAGGATCCCAGCCCTGAACTGTCCTGGTTTTGCCTGACACTGAGCACTTCACCAGCCCATGTGCAGTAGCTGGAGAGAAAAAAACCGAGAGAAAAAATAATGCGGAAACAGCTCCATAAAAAAGCAGCAAGAGGGCAGGGAGGATTCCTGAGGGGAGGATTCCCAGGCCACGGCTTGCTCTGTGTTGTGCTCGTTATCTCGCTGGGTCCCAGGGTCCCTTCCCGGGGTGGAACACCAGCAGCCCCCAGGAGCTCAGCCTGGGGAGCAGCTCCCACTGGCACTGGGAAGGGGAGAGCTCTGCTCAAATAGCTCTGACCTAAACCGGAGCTTGCAGGGAAAACTAAGGCACCAGAACAACAGCCAGGAGAAAAGAGCTTTGCTGTGGAGATGCCTGGCTTGCAGCATCCTCACACCGGATTCTGAAATTGATGACAGAGAATTCTGAGAAGGTTCTGAGTCTGCTCCCATTCTGAAAACTTCCAGAGTTCATCCCTGGATGTCCGTGTTTCCTGGCCGCCGCTGTTCTCCAAAACAGCTCCGAAACAAAAAGCCTGAGGAGCCTCTGCCACAGTAAGGAAATGTTTGTGGGGGAGCTGGAGGGCAAAGTGTGGGGCATTTATCAGCACATCTGTCAGCACAGCTGGAGAGCGGGGTGGAGGGGAATGAAAGAGGGAGATAAAGGTTGGAGGGGAGAGGAAGGGGAAGGGAAAGAGGGAGAAGGCGGAGAGGAGAAAGAAGGAGAGGAAAGATGGGAGAGCTGGGGTGGTTTTACACTGGGGCTGGAGCAGCCTGGCACAGGGGAAGGTGTCCCTGCCAGGGCAGGAGAAGGAACAGGATGAACTTTAAGGTTCCTCCCAACCCAAACCATTCCCTGGTTCTTTAACGAGGCGGGGATTGCTCAAAGGTTGGACTCAATGATCCTGGGTTTCCATCCTCAGTGATTCTGTGATTTACTGCTGGGGGTGCTGCTTGGATCCCCCTAGGCAAATAAATCTGCATTTACTGGTGTTTCAAAGAGGTGGATCCAGTTTCCTTCTCCGCAGAAACCCAGGCCCTCACAGCACCCGCTCTGCCCACCAGCAATCCCAGATCCTGAGCCACTCAAGAAAACCTGACTACATTTATCAGTGCCAGAGAATTAGAGACGAACTGAAGCATCACCAGGGCTTGTTTCAGTGCCCGTCTCACAGCCCCATTCCCCAGGGAAATGATCAGGAGGGCAGAAGTTTTCCAGTGGGACTCGGGTAACTCCGTCAGGGCTGGCAGCTGAGGTGCCTCAGTACCTGCTGGTGATTACTGAGGCTCCTTGTTCATTCCGTCTGTGCTTGGCTGACAACATCATCCCTGGAATAGATTTTGGGCGCAGTGACAGCAACAGTCCTCCCACACTGTGTGTAGATCGGGTATAAAAAGCTACAATGTGAGTCCTACTTGTTATACATCCGAGATGGAGAAGCCCCACATCAGGAGAATAAAGCCTGATGCTATTTCAGGCCTTCAGCACAGATGTGCAATAAAACCCCATGTTTCACAACCCTACATTACTTATAAAATAACTCCATTAATAACCTGCAGAGCTTGCCATAAAGCCACTTTGCATGGTTAATTTGCACAGATTGGGCACAAAGGAATAACCAGAAAGCTCAGGCTGAGCTTGACCTTGTGCTGCCCATCCAGGGCAGGAGGGATGGTGGGTTTATTCCAGCACAGGTACTGCCTTGGTGCCTGAAAATAGAAAGGTACCTAAAGCAAAGCCTTTTATGTATCTTCAGGCCATTATCCTTGGATCACAGCACTCCTGGAAAATCTACAAATACAGAATAAGGTAAATAATCTGATTTTTTTTTTTTTTACAGATATTCTGTTTTTTCCATACGTGTTTTTCATAGGATGAAAATCCAATTTGTATGTGCAAAAATATTTGAAAATCCATGTCTTCCTGTGCCTGTGAGCTGTTCTGGGGAGGGCTGGGTCGTGGGAGGCAGCACTGCCAGCCTCAGCCTCACTGAGCACATTTCTGACAGGCCACCACAGCACATATGGAAAAAATCAAGCAGCACTGAAGTACTACAGAAAGCACTAAAAATCTGACGGGTTTTTTGTTATCATTTTTAATATTGTCCTTTAAAAAGAAAAGCAAACAAGTTCAACTGATGGGTTTATTATTCCAAAGGTTGATTTTACAGTGTTCTGCCTTTTAGAGAATCCAGGCAATTCCTGTTTGAACTCAAATGTCAGCATTTTGATATATCTTGTTGCACAGAGCCATAACGGGGTAAAAACGGGGAGAGGAGCTCTCTGCATCAGCGTGGCAGCTCTGAGAATCCCAGGGACGGCCCTGTGGGACCCAAGCCATGGGAAAGGGCTCGTAAAAAGTCCCGTTTGCGTTTCCCTTGCAGCAGGAAGCGCGCGGGCATGGCATGAGCGGCCCTGGCGCTGCGGGCCATGCCCTCCTCCAACAGCTCTGAGCTCAGCCCGTCCTTCATCCTGGCCAGCCTGCCGGGGCTGGAGGCGGCGCACTCCTGGATGGCCATCCCGCTGTGCTCGGCCTACGTGCTGGCCGTGCTGGCCAACGGCGCCGTGCTGCTGGTGGTGCGCGCCGAGCCCAGCCTGCACGCGCCCATGTACTTCTTCCTCTGCATGCTGGCCGCCATCGACCTGGCGCTGGCCACCGCCACCGTGCCGCGCACCCTCTGCTTCTACTGGTTGGGCAGCCGCGAGATCGGCTTCGCCGCCTGCCTGCTGCAGATGTTCCTCATCCACACGCTCTCGGCCGTCGAGTCCACCGTGCTGCTGGCCATGGCCGTGGACCGCTACGTGGCCATCTGCCACCCGCTGCGGCACGCCGCCGTGCTCACCAACGGCGCCACGGCCAAGGTCGGGCTGCTGGCCGTGGCCCGAGGCGTGCTCTTCTTCCTGCCGCTGCCCCTGCTCCTCCTGCCCCTCCCCTTCTGTGGCCCCCGCGTGCTGTCCCACTCCTTCTGCCTGCACCAGGACGTGATGAACCTGGCCTGCGCCAACACCACGCCCAGCGTGGTGTACGGGCTCACCGCCATCCTGCTGGTGATGGGGCTGGACGCCGTGCTCATCTGCCTCTCCTACCTGCTCATCCTGAGGGCCGTGCTGCGCCTCGCGGCCTGGAGGGAGCGGCTCAAGGTGTTCAGCACCTGCATCGCCCACATCTGCGTGGTGCTGGCCTTCTACGTGCCCCTGATCGGGCTGTCCGTGGTGCACCGCTTCGGCAAGGACCTGGCTCCGCTGGTCCACATCGTCATGGGCAACGTCTACATCCTGGTGCCCGCTGTGCTCAACCCCATCATCTACGGGGTGAGGACCAAGCAGATCCAGAGGAGGATCCTGAGCTTGATCCACGTCACTGCCAGAGCTCCCCGGTGACCCCAGCCCGGCCGCCGCCCCGTGTCCTCACCCTCGTTTTACACCAGAGCCTTTGGTGCTGCGCGCTCTCCGTGTCCTCTCCGTGTGCTCCGAGGTGCTGCCACCAGGCAGAAGCTGATTGTGAACTCCTTCCCAGAGTGTTTGCCCTCACCAAACTCAGAGAAATGACTGCAGTGATCTAAATCCAAGCCCGACCTGGCAAAGTTCCACAAGAAGGGAAAAGTGACTCAGCAAACTTACACAGATGTCCCAACATTGCTCCTCTTGGTTCCCTTCTCACCTCTAACAGTGGCAGGGCAGAGAAAATGCTGGATGGTTTGGGATGATTTAGTTAATTCATTGTTTTCACGTGGGGCACAGTCACACTCCAGAAGTTTTGCCAAAAAATTTGCATGTAGCATCATTCTTTAAGTAAAATAATTACAGGACACCTGTCCAAAGTGACATTACAGATGCAGAAAGGCATTTCAGAGAAAGAACATCCACCGCTGTGGTCTTGTTCTGACCTGCTGTGTGCTCTGTCAAGACCCCTTAACCTCCTCATAGCAGATGCTGTGGAAAAACCAGACTCAGAGGTACTGGTAGCAACTGTAAAAATAATTTAAATTAGTAATTGCATTCAATAAAATGAAAACATCTCAAGGGGAAAAAAATAAGCGAGTTATAAATGTCAGTGATGATTCCAAGCTGAAGGAAGTCTCGTTTCCAAGCCAAAGGTGTTCCACACTGGGAATTCCTGAAACGTCCTGTCACTAGCACCACTGAACAGAGTCTGGCAGCATCCTCTGGCACGCCTTGGAGAGGTGTGTGCGTTGAGGGGAGCCCCTCTCAGTGCTCTCATCCTCACGAACTGTGGCTTCACACTCGAGGGGAAGTCGGGGATGTTCCCACCGGAGCAGACACAGAGATCCCTCAGGGAGGGGCCAGGAGCGCCAGGGCTGAGCTCCCGCTCGGGCACCGTGGGTTTGGCTGCCCCGGGGGTGGCACAAGGCCCTGCCCAGACCTTTCTGGAGCTGCAGCAGCACTGCTCGGACCTGCACTCCATCAGGAGGCCCAGGTGCTCTCAAGCCCCAGTGTCTCCATTAGCATCCCAAAATCCCCAAACCCCTGGGGCTGGCGCAGCCCTGCCAGCCCAGGCAGTGCCAGCTGTGCCCCGTGCCCACCTTGTCCCCAGCCCAGAGCACTCAGTGCCACCCCCAGGGGACACCTGCAGGGATGGGCACTGCAAAGCTCCCTGGGCAGCCCCTGCCAAGGCCTGAGCACCCTTTCCATGGGGAAATTCCTGCTGCTGTCCCAGCTGAGCCTGCCCTGGCCCAGCCTGAGGCCGTTCCCTCTGCTCCTGTCCCTGTTCCCTGGAGCAGAGCCCGACCCCCCCGGCTGTCCCCTCCTGGCAGGGACTTGTGCAGAGCCACAAGGGCCCCTGAGCCTCCTTTGCTCCAGGCTCAGCCCCTTCCCAGCTCCTCAGCAATTCTCCAGCCCCTTCCCAGCTCCTCAGCAATTCTCCAGCCCCTTCCCAGCTCCTCAGCAATTCTCCAGCCCCTTCCCAGCTCCCTCAGCAATTCTCCAGCCCCTTCCCAGCTCCTCAGCAATTCTCCAGCCCCTTCCCAGCTCCCTCAGCCTCTCCTCATGGACTGGCTCTCGAGGACAGAGGTCTCAGGGGTCCTTGGCCATGACTTTGGATAGGAGATCTCACCAAAGGCTCTGCCAGGCTCCCAGTGCTGCAGTGTTTAGTGGAGTTTGCTGCAGTTTCTTCCCAGTTCCAATGAATTCTGATAGTAAAACAAGCCTCATTTTTGTAGTCTGTGCTGGTACAGCTTCAGTCTTGGTATAACCTGTTCTGCTAAATCCAACCCAATTTATTTCAAAATAAATACTTTCATTTAGGTGAGTCACAAACAGCTCTCATCTGGGACTTCAAGGCAATTCTGTCCTGTCATTTTTGGCATATTCTGGTTTAATAGAGCTTAGAAGGGTAAAAAAAAAATCATAACAACGAAAACAATCTGTACCTGCCTAATGTGATTTGGGAAATATGAAGGAATTTTTCAGAGGCATTATGGGTCTAAACCCTTTTCAGGTGGCCATGGCACCGAGAAATGGCTCCTGCTCATTCCCCATATGTTCCTTTTTTCCCTCTTGTGCTGAGAAAAAAATTAATAAAGAAAAATGAATGAACTACCCCGGAATGCTGTATTGTATTTTCTAGTCATTTATTTCTCAGAGAGTTAATAGAGGCTGGGAGCAGGAAGGCATGATGGATTGATTTCTCCTGGGTGCAGATAAAACTCACTCACTTCTTGTTTTCCAAAGTTCAGTCACGGAGTGCTGCTTTGCTGGGGAACAGAACATGCTGGAACATGGCACCTGTCTTTGCCAAGGTGCTGAGGGCCAGGTCACCTCTCCTGCAGCAGAAGGAAAACCTCAGGCACACCATGGGGACACCCAGCCCACATCTGCTCTGTGCGCGGGGCCAGAGCCAGAGGTGGGGCTCTGGATTTACTGGGAAGGGTTGGGTTCACTTGGCTGAAAAGGGAAGGGCTGGGACAAGGCAAGGAGGCTGGAGGGAGGGAGGGAGGGAGAAAGAGGAGGATGGGAGAAGTGGGAAGAGGATTGGGAGTCACAGGAGCCTGGAGGTGACAATAGAGGCAACAAGGACACACACGGGGCTGTAGCAGCTGGAGATCTCCTAGAAGATCTCCTCTGACCTCCAAGTATTCCTTTCTCTTCTCTTCTCTTCTCTTCTCTTCTCTTCTCTTCTCTTCTCTTCTCTTCTCTTCTCTTCTCTTCTCTTCTCTTCTCTTCTCTTCTCTTCTCTTCTCTTCTCTTCTCTTCTCTTCTCTTCTCTTCTCTTCTCTTCTCTTCTCTTCTCTTCTCTTCTCTTCTCTTCTCTTCTCTTCTCTTCTTGGAAAAGCCCTCTAGGGTCACTGACCCTGACCATTACCCCAGCACTGCTGGTTCCCCACCACATCACGTCCCAAAGCACCACATCCATGGTTTTAGAACCCCTGCAGGGATGGGCACTGCAAAGCTCCCTGGGCAGCCCCTGCCAAGGCCTGAGCACCCTTTCCATGGGCAAATTCCTGCTGCTGTCCCAGCTGAGCCTGCCCTGGCCCAGCCTGAGGCCGTTCCCTCTGCTCCTGTCCCTGTTCCCTGGAGCAGCCAGGGCTGGGAGGGCTGTGCCAGCCCCGGGATTTGGGGATCTGGTCTAGTGGAAGGTGTCCCTGCCCATGGCAGGTGGTTGGAACTCGATGATCTATCAGGTTCCTTCCAGCACAAGCCCTTCTATAGTTCTGTGATGGCTCTTACATCTCCAAATCCAAACACTGGAAGAAACCAGGCACGAAGCAGCGAAGCACAGCCCTGTGTGCGAGGTCATCGGCACCGAGGGGGTTAAAAGCTGCCACCTTCTCTGGCTTCTGTCTCTAATTACACCTGAAGCGGCGGGGGAAGGCAGAGCTCCCTGCTGGGATTGATGTGTCAGGCAGGAAAACATCCCGGGTCTCTGCGGAGCGGCTGCCCCGGGAGCCGGGCGGTGTTCAGGGCTGGCAGCAATCCTGCAGGACGGGCTCTGTGCCGGGGCAGCCCCTCTCTGCCTGCCCTGCCTGCCCTGGCACCTCTGCTCCCCGTCCCGTGCTCCCCGCTGAGGGATGAAGCTCTGGGTAGAGCACCAGCAGCAGCTCCTGGGAGGAGGCGAAGAAGCAAATTGTCAGGACTTGAGATTCCTGGGATGTTTAAAGGCACATGGAAAAAAATGGGGAACGTCCCCAGAGTGCGGGTGGCCCCAGAGCAGCTGTGCGGGCTCCAGCACAGCTCCAGCTGTGAGTGGGGCCGTGCTGGGACGGGCTGGGATGGCCACAGCGTGACATCTGTCGGGGTGCAGCGGGACCAGAGCCCAGCTCGGCTGCATCAGACCTCGGGGGCTCCACTACACCAGAATCCCAAATCCCTGGGGCTGGACAGCCCTCCCAGCCCAGGCAGTGCCAGCTGTGCCCCATGGCCACCTTGTCCCCAGCCCAGAGCACTCAGTGCCACCCCCAGGGGACACCTGCAGGGATGGGCTCTCCATCCCTGGCCTGTTCTGGGACACTGCTCACCCCTCTGCTGCCTGCAGGTCTCCTTCAGCTCCAGGAAGATTCCCAAAGCTCCAGTCAGGCCGGGGACATCAGCCTGCGTGCGCTGCAGGGCTGCTCAAGGGATCCTTGCTGGATTTGGGGAATGGAGCTGAGCAGTGAGCAGGGTCTGGGTCAGTCCCTGTCCTTTGGGGCACAACGGGAACCCTGGAGTGTGCCTTGGGGGCCAGGGAGAGGGGCACTGCCAAACACTCTGACACTGGCCCTTTTGGCCTGAAATCCATTGTTTCTTGACCAAGAGGAGCTCCTGGCAGCTCAGCTTACACTGAGGAGCAGCACAGTGCTGTCAAACCTCCTCGGAGCTCGGGGCTGGTGACAAGGATCCATCTCACCACTGACAGCTCTCCTCTGGTCTCCTGGCTGGTCACCTTTTATGTTGGAACCTAGGACATCCCTCTGGGTGCCCTGGATGGCTCAAAGCCCTGGCAGGGGCTCAGAGACCCTGGCAGGAAGGCAAAGACACCTGGGAATTTGATCTTAACCCAGGGAGCAAATTACCAACCTTGTGTGAAGAATTACAAGTCACAAAAGTGTAAGTAGCATAATAGTAGTTGTCACAGGGTGAAAGGTGGAATTTTGAAGATTTTTTACTATCGGGGTCTAGGAGGCAGGATGGAGGGATTTGGGCATTGTCCTGTTCTTCTTCCTTCTTCTTCCCAGCCTCCACCTTCTGGGTGATGCTGGCACATTTGGATTGGTGTAGAGTAGAGGCAGACAGTCTAACATAGGTGATAGATATTGGAACATAACTGTAAATAAAGTACACGCAGTTTTAGTATAAAGAGATAGCACCACCTCAGGGCAGTGCAGTGTGCCTCGGACTGGCCTGCAGAACAGACCTCGGCAGGCCAGACAGAAAATGTTTGAGATAAGAAACAATAAACAACCTTGAGAACGACAGCCGAAGACTTCTGGCTCCTTCTTCAACAGCTGGGTTGGGGAAAAGAGACTTTTAATAGACCTCAGGGTCATCTTGACCAGAGGAGATCCTGAGACGTTCAGACACTGGACAGCAGCAAGTGTGCAGCTCAGGCAGCCTTGCTGCTCCATTTATCCAGGAGGAATCCAGCGTGCTCCAGGAGAACCCCGCCAGGAGGGACAGGACACTTTCAGTGGGAGCTGCCAGGACCCTTATTCCACAGGGCTCTCCTGCAAGCAGGGGCCAAAGGCTGTGGGGGAAATCTCAGCCTGCAGACCCCCGTCACACCAGGCTGCCTCTGGCCAGCTCCAGAGTGCTTGATGCTCTTTTTCCCACAGGACAGGAAGCTCTCAGCACAGGCAACACCAAGAAGGGTCCACGTCTCTGAGCATGAACCCACATGAGCCCTTCTGCCTCCTGCCCCCCTCCTCATTTCCTCCCCACTGCTATCCCTGGGCTGGAGGAGGAGCAGTTCTGGATCGCCTTCCCCTTCTCCATCACGGCATGGCCCTGCTGGGGACATCTCCCTGCTCGTCCCCAGCAGGGCAGAGCTCACCTGCGGGAGCCCTGCTCCTCTCCTGGCCATGCTGACCCGGCCCTGTGACCTGCACACTGCCCAAAGTGCTCAGCACCTTCTGCCTGGCCCCAGGGGATGGGGATGTTCTCCGTGCACCTCTCCAGGGTGGTCAGGCGTGCCCACAGCTTTGGGTCATTCCCTGGCACTGAGGGGCACCCAGCTCTGCTCGGTGCCCTGGAGAGCCTGGAGCTGGTGCAGGGGGTGCTCCTGGAGAGCCCCAGGTGCCTCCTGCTCCACCAGAGACATTTCTGAGCCAGCACCACGGCACTGCCCGCGGCTGTGGTGGCACTGGGGACACCAGGGACAGGGTCACTCGTGGCTTCTCGTGGCTTTCCCGGTGCCAGGGCTGCCCTGGAGCGGGTCTGCAGCAGCGTGGGGTCAGTTCAGAGGGCTCCACACTGATCTCGGTGCCCTGTGACGGGGCTGCCCTGCAGAGGGGCTGAAAGCCGCAGCGCCCGCAGCTCCCAGCTGTGTCACACCCTGCCCTGTGTCCCGCTGGCCCCCTGCCCTGCTGGCAGCCCTGGCAGGGGTCCCTGCCCTGC